ATAAAAATGGCAGGCTAAAATTTTTTTTTCACGTGCCAAAAATTTTTTTACACTGGCAGGCCATATTTTTTTTCTAATTTGAGCCCTGGTGTATACACTCAGTCAATCATTACATTTGTTATTCAGATACAAGGGTGGATCCAGCAAGGTTCTTCTATGGGGGTGCTGGGTGAGCAAACATGAGTTTCTTTATAATTCTTTAGGGGGTGGTGGGAAAGCATTCAAATGAATTGGCTATCTAATGACTCACACGCCGAAGGTGCAAGCTCCCTAGGGGGTTCAGGGGTATGCTCCCCAAAAAATTTGAAAATTAGAACCCTAGAAATGTCAGTTCCTGCCATTGAATTATGAGCTTCGGTTTGACTTCAAAAAAGGAAAACCAAATTTTGCACCTCCCTTGCACCCATGTTTACCAAGGCCAACAGGTGCACCCCTGTGCACCTCCCCCCTATAAATCCACCCCTGTTCAGATATCTCACCTCATTGTTCTCTTCTTGGGTTTCCTCGTCAAGAAGTGGAATGTCTGTTTGAAGTGGTCGTATATAAATTTTGGCTAGAGCACAGATATCCTTCAAACGTATTGTTGTCAGTGGAGGTTTAATTGCATGAAAGCCCCCATTGACACCACCCCCTCTTTGATAAAGTGAGAGTTCATATCCTCCTGTGTGAGCAAGCTGGGGGAATTTTTTCAAAATTTCCTCATACAAATAAACACTGCTCTCATTTAAGTCTAACAGTAATGTGCAGTCTCCCAAGCCTGCATTACATAGATCTGTCTTGTCTTTCACATTTGAAGGAGGAGCTGTGGCTGTTGTTGCAGCAAGACAAACAAACTTTAACTTGCATGTGGGTTGCTTTTCCTTCTTTTTTGACGCTGCTTTGCCCTTGGTTGAACAACGACTTTTATTGAAATTAAAAAGCCGTCTATGCTCACTAATTGCAGATGAGATGGTTGAGCTGTTGGGTTGTATGGCCTGCAATATGGCGCTGCTATTGTGTTGCTGCTGTGATGTAGTAGGCATGGTAGTACGGGAAGAACTGCTGTTTGTTCTCAATGTTGCTCCTAGTAGAATATAGTAAAAAGCATTTAAAATCTCGACTTAAGACTATAATTTGCTTTACTGTAAATGTATTTCAATTTATGTAAGTATAGTCAAATTTATTTTTAATAATAATAAAATGATACTAAATATTTTTGCATATTATTATATACATACAATGTATGTATCGTCTGGATTTGACAAAGCTATTTTTTAAAGCTACACTTACCTGATGAAGAATTAGATGGGCTCATTGCCGGTGAAGATGAATTCGACGAGTTTATCGAAGAAATTTGCTCGGCTACTTTTAGAAGAGTAGCCCTCACTTCGTTTAACCCAGAAGGTCCAGAAGTCTCGGATGATTCTGCCATTGTTGAGGAGTGAGAGCGCGGCAAACGGAAGAAGTCCACTGAGCTGTACGTGATAACTGGAGAAATCATTTACGTGCAAAAACGAGCCCGCGATCCATGATATACGAGTGGATTGCGGTTGGAAAAAAAAAGTTGTGTTGAAAAAAAAAGTTGTGATAAAAAAAAGTTGTGTTGAAAAAAAAAAGTTGTGTTGAAAAAAAAAGTTGTGATGAAAAAAAAGAAGTTGTGTTGAAAAAAAGTTGTGTTGAAAAAAAAAGTTGTGATGAAAAAAAAAAGTTGTGTTGAAAAATAAAAAGTTGTGTTGAAAAAAAAAGTTGTGTTGCAAATAAAAAGTTGTGTTGAAAAACAAAAGTTGTGTTGAAAATAAAAAGTTGTGTTGAAAATAAAAAGTTGTGTTGAAAATAAAAAATCATACAGTGAAAATGATGTTGCAACTAAAAGTTGTGTTGAATATTACATGTTGTGTACAAAAAGTTGTGTTGCAAACAAAAAGTTGTTATGAATATAAAAAGTTGATTTTTGGCGGGGATGGGACACCATAGAGAGAGATGGAATGTCCCAGAGAGACGAAATGTCACAGAGAAAACAAATGTCAGAAGAGTGGTCCAATGAGGAGCTTGAAAATGCCGACCAATCCTCCAGTGATAGTGATTACAGTGATGGTGATTACAGTGACGAAAGCAGTAGTGAGGTGGAAAACATTCTCTTCAGCAGACCACTGAATGCAGTAGCTGAGGAAGAATGCATCTTTCAACAATTTTAAGAGTGGCTCCAAACCGCAGACGGGAGTAGGAAGGATCCATCAATTGCGTCAAAGTGTTCTCGACAAGTGCAATTAGTGATGCAGTACATCAATCCCAAGAAACCGACCCTGAAAGATGTGCTGGAGAAAGAAACTCTCAAGAACAAGTGGTTGAACAAATTTGAGAAGGAAAGACGCCCTGAGACAGTGAAGTCTTATCTGGGAGATTTAAGACAATTTTATTTCTTCCTACAATGCACGTCTCCCAAAAACATCAATGTGTCAACAAAAGTGTTAAATTCACTGATAGCACAAATGACACAGTGGAGCAAATCTTTTCACAAGCTGGTGAAAGGTCGCTTTTGGGAAAAACGTATGATCAACATGGGAAAACTGCGTACACCAGAGCAAATTCGAGAGTTTACCTCTTCTAATGTGGCCAGAGCGGCGGTAAACATGTTGGACGAGTACCAGGCAAAGGCGGACGGAACATGGCCTAGTCAAAGTGAGTACACCTCTGTGAGAGACTACTTGGTGACGTCAATTTGCATAAACAACGGCAGCCGGTCAGGAGCATTGGCTAACATGACCGTAGGGGAGTTCATGAGTGCCCAGCAATTAGATGATAGCTTTGTTGTGAAAGTGAAAAAACACAAAACTTTCATTACACATGGTTCAGCCAACCTTGTTTTCTCGACCACTCTCCATAATTGGATGATGATCTATATCAACAAATTCCGCTATCCTGTTGCTGACATGACGTGTAAAAATACCGAACCAGTTTTCTTGACTTGGAAAAACCGTCCAATGACTGCATCCCATATTGGGAGCCAGATCAACAGTGCCTGGGGGAAATTGTTCGGCAAGGAAACTGCTACTGGTGGAGCTACAGCTTTTAGAAAAGCGGCTGTTTCTGCTGTCCACCGTAACAACAAAGGGAGAAGAGAAGAGCTAGCTCAATTAATGGTCCACCACAGGGTGACTGCTGACCACTACTATCTTTTAGAAGAAAAGACAGCAGCAGCAGTAAAAACTTCAAAATATTTAACTGACGTTTTACATGCTAAAGCACCACATACCAAAGCTACATCCGGAAAAGATGTAGAAGCTTCGAATGCACCATCATCTTCAGTGGAGTGGTCTGTTCAAAAACGACGAAAATGGATGCCTGAGGAAGAGGAGGAATTAAAAATGCTTTTTGCTGCTGAAATCAAAGACCAATCTATTACACTTAAAACAGTGAGGCAAAAAATTCAGGACAGTCCTGTTTTAAAAGAAATATCTGCATGCAAAATACGCGACAAGATCCGTACCTTCTTCGGAAGTGTAACATGTCCATTGCCAGAATTATCCGAGGAGACACCAGAAGAGCGCTTGAATCGATCCGGTTACAAGTCACCGTCTTTGTCAAAAAAAACCCAAATGAACAAGAATAATTCTGACAGTGAGTAAACCCAAAGTGAAGATGCATCACCAAGCATCATTTCACCATCCACCTGCATGTCAAGGAAGAGCTCGCAAAAGTTATTTGACAAGGATGAGCACAATGAATTTTGCAAGCTGTTTAAAGATCTAATAAACAGCAAGAAGTCAATTACCAGAGTATTCGTGAAGGAAACGCTGGAAGGAGCACCGAAATTGAGTCACCTGTTGAAGAGATGTACCTTGCTCCAGCTTGCTGATAAGGTCAGGACAGAACGGAAAATTTCGAACCACAACAATGCAGGAAAATGTAAGTATATCATAAATGCTGCACACTACCTGTACCCGACTAGATGGTTTTTTGTATATTTAAACACAAGACACTGTTTAAACTGATGTGCAGATTAAAATAATGCCATTGTATGCTTAGTTTCATTTTAAACAGCATTCTGGGTGCATTCTACATATGCTGGCAAAGTTTCATGCGATTTGGTTAAGCAGTTTACTTGTTACATGAAGGTTTTCAGCTGTCTACTTAGACTACTACTCTTGCTGTATACTATACCAATTGTAATGATACTTATCATTTGTATGGAAAGCTAAATCGAAAATGTTGTTTTCCTTTTCCTATGATCAAAAAATGCTCTGAATATATATCATTTAACAATGTGAGCTTTAACAATGAACAATACATACTATGATTTATAATATAGCATTTGTAAATGCTGAACGTTGACTGGCTAAGAGCCGTGTTGATATAACTCAATGTCAACACGGAAACGTCGGAAAATTTCTTTCTTTATGTTTCTTATAGAACAAATATAAAACATTTTGTCCGTATTGATATACAGTTATATCAACACTCGTGGAAATTGGAAAAACTCGAAATTGTGTGAAAACACTCCGCTCTTCGGGCGTCGTGTTTCCACACAATTTCTCGTTTTCCCAATTTCCACTCGTGTTGATATATGGTGGATATTACACGGCGCACGAAGATATGACTTTTTATCTTTGAGTGGTGAACACAATATTTGACGAACGAGCCCAGCGAGTGAGTAAAATATTGTTTTTAACACGAGAAGATACAAGTCATATCTTGAAGCCATTGAAAGTGTAATGTTCTGTTTATTATATAGTCCGAAGCAAAAAATTGTATAAATACTAAAAGTCACGTGATCGATATATCCTTACTAGTGAAGATGTGGAAAATATGTCACTGCATATTTTTAAAAAAAAATAAAGACTATACAGTATCAACACGGAAAATGTTTTATATTTGTTAACCCGTTGAGTCGCATTGCACCCTGATGCACCCTACTTTAGTATTTTACTCTGTCTAACGCCAGACGATTTTACTCGTCAAGGGGAGAGCGCTGGCGCTTAATGGGTTAACTGGCCTATCTGCTCATGTGTCTAGTTAAATATCATACTTATGTTTCAAGTTATGTTTCAAATTGGACAACAGTTGAGCCTCCATTAAGCGGCCACATAAATGAACCATTCCCCCAGGGTGAGGGCTCAATGGAGATTCAACTGTATGTGTTATATAAAAGTTATGAAATATGCTATTTTTCACACAACAGTACATATGTTCCAAGTTGTATTTTAAGTTTGTTTCAAATTATGTTTTAAGTTTTTTTATGGTCTGTGTTTTATTTCTTTTGTGTTAATCTATTTTTTCTAAACCAATGGCTTTTTTACTTTGTAGAGGTTTGAGGTAAATGGATTTATGGTGGTTCTTGGATTTAAATATTTTATGGATTTTTAATATGAACATCTGCTATTATGCGATTGTTGGTTATGCTGCACATAGAACTTTGACAGTTTCTGATACAAGATTTCTCATTTGGTAAACGCAACAATGAATATGGAACTTTACAGTAGGAACTGTACAGTATAGTGGAAATATTTGGTTGTATTTGTAATGCTTATTAATTTTGAAGTTAGTTGAATAAATTAGGCATGCATAATCAAACAATAATTCAAAGCAAAAATATAAATATACTGAATCTATGGGTGTCTAAACACAATTGAATCGAATTTTATGCATGTTATTTTATGATAAAATTGAATTTAATTGTGTTTAAGTGCCCATGGGTTCAGTATGGCACTCAGGCATTCAAATAATAATAAGGTGAATTTCTAAAGGTCTCCTTTTTTATACATCCTGTATTTCATCCTGCTATTGTTGTCCACTTGTGACAAAAGCTGTGGCCTTCAATGACAGGTTAAACCATAGCTAATAGACATAGGCGTACGGGAGGGTGGGGCTGGGGGGGCTGCAGCCCCCCCCCCACTTTTTTGAGATTTATCTATATTCGGGCAAAAATTGTCTTGTCATTCGGGCAACGACGGTCTGGTGGTTAGACGAATATATTGATCCATAAAGCGGAACAGAAGTATTATTTCAACAAGTTCAACTTTTACAGGTTCAATCATGCACTGTAAATCTGTAATGGCAACGTTTCACTACGTTTGTGTATATCTGAATACCATAGATCGCATAGCTCAGGGTCTTCAAACCATGGGTCGCGACCCAAAATTGGGTCACTAGCACACCCTCGAAAGTCGCAAGGCTTGTCTTGGGTCGCATGGGTCGCAATGCTTGTCTAGGGTCGCGAACTTACACTAGTAAACTTTACAAGACGAGAGATCAAGTGATAAGATGCACATATTTACATATGAATATTTCCTTGCGAAATTTGAGATTATAATGTTTTTTCACGATTATTATGAAGCACTCAAGCGCTAGATTGCTAGAATAATATGGTAAACAGGTAAACTGGTAAAGCTTTAGATATAATACCTTTTACTTCATGTAACTCAAACATTATGGCTTAGCACCACTCGGCGCGCCTTCGGCGCATGTCCTCTTCCAAAGTAGAGTCGTCGTCATACACTCGGAAGCTTTCGGTGAAAAGCCATCATGTTTTTAATTATCGAAAGTTTTATTGGGAGTGTTCAGGGTCGCGGGACACCTATGAAGCTTGGGTTTGGGTCGCCGAAAAAAAGGGGTGAAGACCCCTGGCATAGCTGGATTCAAGCATGTTGCGTCAGGTTAACATTTATTAAAGGTCAAGTGCTCTAAAATCGGATTTGGTTTTGATTTTTGCGCACATACCAAAGACGTAAATCCCCATAGCCTGCGTAGCAGGCGCTATTTAGGGGGGAGGGCGAAAAATGGAAGGGGCGAGAAAGAAATAGCGCCTGCAGGAAAGCCATATGTTTTCTCATATTTCGCGTCCGCTCACGGACGCGAAATTCTGATTGGCTAATCAGTCATCAGGGGTTTCCCAATTATATTCCCTGTGGTTTTAGTGAGTTCAAAATAGCGGCCTTAGTATTGACCTCTTTCTCAAGTGATTAGCTATATTCAGTTGGCGACTGGCCACTGTATTCAACTGAAAGAGGAGCAAGATAAAGCAGTTCGGGACCTTTTAAAAGGAAAAGATGTTTTTGCTGTATTACCGACAGGTTTATGGCAAAAGTTTGATTTACCAAGCTTTCGTACGAGCGTGTGATTATCATACGTTAGGGAAAGCAGCTATTATTGTAATATCCCCATTGAATAGCATTTATATTAAAGACCAGCCAAAAGACATGGAACGGCAATGTTTTTCGTCCGTGGATGCTTAAATCACGATAATTACTATAATCACTATAGTTTATACGCTATAATCACTTTCAACTTAGCCTATTCGCTATAAAATATAAATTGATCGAGAAAGTTGCCGCTTCGAGTTGCTGTCGTTGTTGTTAACACTGAACTTGTCCTGCGATGGGGAATCTCGTTCTTCTGTGTCAAGGAAAAGACTTTCTAGTACTAGATTTGACACACACATTTAATTTCTTTCTTTATACACTTTCGTTGTGTGATTTCTTGGCAACTGCATTTTGCTTATCTCGCTCAGATCATCTGAAACCGTATCATTTTGTTCTTTAATTAATTATCGTTCTTCCTTTACAAATTTATATAGTTCAGCAGCGTTCCTTATTTTCCTTACAAGGTTTACACACTCGATCCGATAAAGTTTCGCTTCGATTCAACTTAAAGCCAATGGACTCGCACGCGTTCGCTAAAATCAAATTCTGACTGCCTTGTCTGTCTGACGGCTTAAACAAATTTTCAAAGGAAGGCTCACTTTCACATACTGCTTTTAGATTGCTGTTGCAAAACCTGCATGTATCGTTAGCGCTTGCCTATTTCGCTTTTCTACCTGCTTTTTTACAAATTTTTTTTGCGTTAACATAGAAATACACTTTATAGTATACACGCGCATTAAGATTATGCATAGTGTTGTGAAACCAGATCTGTCATTGGGAAAACCATTAGTTGCGTCTCAATCACTGATTGGCTTGTTTTTTAATGGGCGGGACTTGGACAGATATGAGAAAACATATGGCTTTCCTGCAGGCGCTATTTCTTTCTCGCCCCTTCCATTTTTCGCCCTCCCCCCCTAAATAGCGCCTGCTACGCAGGCTAAAATCCCCACAGAAACGGCTAGAACGAAGGAACAATTGCTATGGCTACTAATAAAATGTCACTACTGTATCCATGCCTATATTCAGCAGTTTTACCTAGCATAATGTAGGCTATACAACTATTAAACTAAATAAGTATATAGTATATAGCTGCACATATTGCGAAGGTGTGGTATAAGTCTGCGTAGTAACAATCGGATAAGTAATGTTTATCCTTTCGGCACCGCGGCTATGACACACCAGTCACTGAAAATAGATACTATATAGACATAAAAGTGCGCGATTTTTTTACAATCATTAAAAAATTGTTGATTTTACGACGTTCGGTGCGAGGAATGCAATAAGGAAATCGACAGTGATTATAAAGAGGTGCATTCTCGATTGGTTCCGCATTGCACAATGGTAAAAAAGTAAAATGTCATCCAGTGATGGAATCATCGGATTCATCCCAGTCGAAAATCAATACTTTCTTTGTAAAAAGTAACATGACAACCAAGGACAAGGACCTGCTGTCACCTGCAGTATGACCTAACCCTATTTGGAACTGA